GGCATTTGGAGTTCATGACTGTTTAATGTGTTTTTTAAACAAACTTAACTACACTGAATCAACTGCAGAGCTTTGCTGGTTGTAACATATGGCACCGACTTGGAGCCTGTCCTGGTTCATGCTTATCCAGAAGTCAGGCCAGAAACATTGAAACAATAGCAGAGCAGTCATGTGATGTGAGTAAAGTGGGATTGGGTGGTAATGTATTTTTAATTGCAGGGTTTGGAGAGGGGTATATATAGCATGCAGAACTCCTTACAGGCATTATACTCTAACTCTAAGGCAATAGATAGAGAACTTTACCTTTACCTGAACCCAGCAGCTACACTTATAGACTTGAATAAAATTATGTATTATGAAAAAATACTGTTGAAATACTCTAAATGTGAAACACAAATATAGACAATGTACAATTAGATTTAAATATTTCTCTTTAATTATTTCACATTTTGTCAGTTTAAACCCAGTTAAGTTTTGAAGTGTTGGAAATACGCAGGGATTCTGTGGATTTTCAGTGCATTTTATGTCTGAACTCTGATATGGCCGTTCACATTCTCTTGCATGTTTTTTTCTCATCTTACACATTGTGATCCTTTGCTATTTTTTTAGCTAATGTAAACGCAGCAACAGCAAGACACTGCATCTCCCTATGAATAATGTCTGTGTTTTTTTGTTTTCATACAACGTACATTTCGCCCCACTGGAGTGCTGCTCAAGGCTGAGTGACAAATAAAGCTATTCTATTCTATTCTATTCTTTATATAGCTAAGAGTAAGTTTTACTTTACCTACCAAAAGGATAGCATTCCCATAACTTATGCTGTTAACACCACTGGCGCACCATAGTGAAAATGTGTACAGTATGATATGCAGCAGTTTTTAGATACATATGCAGATGTTTAACATTAACAGTAAGCCAAAAAGCCACTTTCTGGTCTCATCAGACAGACGCATCTTATTACATACCTTTGGTAAGTCCACTACGTGGGCCCTTGTTACAAACGGCCCATTTTTTTAACTTCCTTGTTGTGGCTCCGACTTAAATGGCAGTGTTGTACATAAAATGACTTATACTTTCACTAGTCTGATCAAAATTAGCTTTGGGTCTCTATAGAGTTAGCATGGGTCTTTAGATTGCTTCTTCGATCGATGCTCTTCTTACATTCCTTGGTTGCTAAGTTGAACAGCCATATGTTAAAAGGCCTCCAGTTGTGCCATACTGATTCCATTTTGAGAAGATCAGTTGATCACCAGTCTATGAGATGGACGTTTGTGATATTGTTTTACAACTTCAACCTTCTTCCCAACTGTCTCGCTGACCTGTCTGCTGTGCTTCTGTCGCTTTTTAAATCTGTGAGGAAACTACACATAGTTTGGCTCTACTTACGTAGTATCTAGGTAACTCCTGTATTGGCCGCATGACATCCAGCAGTATTAGATTTTTTCAGATATTGAAATAAAGGGGGTTAAACACAAGTCATGATATAATTCTCTTTATTGTTATTAATTAGAAACCATCCCTATCCCTCTAAATCACATTTATGCATATTTTCTGCTGGTTGTCCTGAAAAAAGAAAACATTCTTTATTCTTTATTCAGTTTGGATGTCATTATTCTTACAGTTGCTTTTTACCCTAAAGAAGCAGCTATAGCCTTAAAAAAAAATAGCATATAGCCATCAGATTTTCACTTTAATTTACTGGCAGGATGATGAAATCATTTTTAAAGAATGACAAGTAAAACTCAAAATCACAATTTTTGTCAAAATTGCAAACTTCCCTATAGGGTATACCTCTAAGAGACCCTTATATTATGTAATATTGCAGGTGAAAAGTATTTCAAGCTCAAATTAAAAATTTGCAAAGGGGTAGAAATTTAGAACTTTATACCCTATTTTTGCAACTATAAGACATGTACACCCTCAGCATAAGTTGAATTAAGTAAAACATTTTATATTTTTTGAAGTTGCTCTGGCTTTCTAAAGCCAAATTTATTTAACATATGGAAAAGGAGGGTTTGAAATTACTATATTTACATAGGCTTGTAAGGCTATTTATGGGGAAGCTGTAATTTAAATCATTATATCATATGATTTTATGTCAAGGAAAGGTTATAGAGTGTCTAAGCAGTAAATACTCTACACCCAGCGTTAATTAGAGCCCCCTGAATGTCAGCCTGAGTTCATCTGATGTTTTAATATAGTGACCTAATACTTAAATTATTCCTCTTTGATGCATGCAGGTGCATAAAGAATAATGTTTCATTTGACTTAAGAAGCAGGGCATATGGAGTGAAAGAGGATATTCTAAATTCCTTTTTAAATTAAGAAAGTACTCCTACTTAAAAGATTAGAATTAAAATAAAGAGCAGAAAGTAATAGTTTAAACCATCAGCAAAAAGGTGAAATTATAACTTTAAAGAGGCAAGATCTAAACAACCCTGATACCTGATGCCACTGTATACCTCATGTTGCTTTAACAGTATGTTCAAAAAAAAGAAAAAAGCACAATTCACAGCAGATAAAGTAAACTCTTTTTTCACATACTGCTTCAGCAGTCAGATTTATTTGTTAAAGGATCAATGAATATTTCTTGCAATAAATAGATTTTTGTTAGACTGGCAATACTTTTTAATTCATATACCTGGGATATCCCTAACCAAATCCAACTCAATTCAAAGTGTTGTGGCAGTGTGTTCCACAACATTTTCCTAGCAGAAAACATTTTTTTCAGCCTTTATGATGAAGTTCATGGCAAAAGATCAACATCTCATTTTAAGTTTTTCTGTTTAAAAGAGAACTCTGCAGAAAGTAAAAAACTGGCCATAGATGTTATAACATGTAAAGCTTATTGTGAAGTTATCAGCAGGAGAATATGTTTCCCTGTAATGGTTTGTTCACCCGACAACTTCAAACCACAAATATTTTTTGAGGCAAATTTCTAGTGAGACATATTCAAATATTAAATTCACCAGCTTTAGATCTGGGTCTCACTGTTCAGCATGAAAACATCATCATCCAGAGAATGACCTGTTTGGATCAACGAATGTAGCTCTGTCAACTCAGACATAATGAGACATGTTGTTAGAACCTTATGCTGCTCCAGTTTATAGCGATCTTGGAGAAGCATATTGATGCTCGAGTAAGAAAAAAATCTGTTGCTGTGAAGGAAAATGGAGAAAACACTTTTAAGTGTAGAACTGTACTTACAAAACGTCTGAGTTTTACTGGTATTCGCAGCTATAAAGTTTTCCACCCTCCAGATTATTTAGACAAATTATTTAAAATTAAGTACCAGAATGTGGCAACATATCTAAAAACGTAAAAAAGTATTATATTTGTATATAACTACAAATATATCCACATAGGCCAGGCTTCGATATTGAAAAAGAAATTGGGGGGGAAAAAAAGGAAAGAAATTAGTCCACCTTAGGTTTATTTTTTTGTTTTGTAGAAAATTAAACTGTTTTATTTATTTTTTTATTCCCACTAGTGTATTTTAATGACAACATATGGAATTTTCCTAAAACAAATTGTCCCAATATTGTCAAAATAATGCCTGGAACTGTAGACCTCACAATAACAAATCTAGTTATAGAGTTTATTAGCAAAAATATGAATGTCAAATGTTTTTGTGGAGTTCCAACCAAGTTTACTAGAAATGGGGCAAGTTTTAAACCAAAGTCAAGAAAGGTTTAATTAAGCTGCACTGTCCAGGAAAAAATTGTGATCATTTGCATTAGTTTTTGAAAAGAAAAGCACATTTTGCTAGTGTCTAGTTAAGCTTTACTACAGAATAAAAATCATTATTTAATGCAAGAAGCTATTTCATCTTGTGTTGCTATTCAAATTAATAATTTCCCTAAACAAATTTTAAAGACCATGAGCTGTTTCTAATGGTGGGTAATTAATGTAATGGGGCAAAGCAAGTGAGCTGCAATTTCCCTGAAAACATGTAATTAAGAGCTAAAACATATTATGTTAAATTACTTTTATATCTGAATTTAATTAGGTATTCAATCATAGAAATCAGACATCAATGGTAATGGTTAATTTGTTCAATGATTCTCAAATGCTGCACCTGGCTGTTGAATGAAGCTTTAGCTTGTGTTAGATGAATCAAATATAGTGTATGCCCAAGAGAGTATATTAGAAACTGAAAATGTTTCACATCTTGAAAAATTATGAACAGATATTGAAATGTATTTTCAAGGCACTATATGTTTTGGACAAGAGGACTGTGTCACATATTTGCGTGATGGATGGAAAATAAAGGTTTATGGCTGTAATGGATTTTCAGATACCATTCTGAAAAATGTACCATGCATTTTATTCACTATTATTACCTCTTTTCTCAGGCTTCCGGCACATTTTTTTATTTCTACACTCAAGGTTTGTAGTATTCATAAAAAAATGAATGCATTTCAATTGGCTTTTTTTTTTCCTTATTGTGCCCAAATGTCAACAAGTAGAGAGGACAGAATACTTTCCTAGTAGGAAATTATATATATTATGAAATAAGTAATAAATGTATGTAGTGATTCAATAACAACCTTGCATGCAATCTCATTTACCGGTGTTTTGGTGCTAGATTTTAAGCTAAAAAAAATAAAAACAAGAAACACATCTTTTTTAAAAAGTCCATAGATTGTTTAATACAACATACCATATTCTCAACAATTTAACATCAACAAAATTTTGTTAATTGAAAAAAAATCTGCATATTACCTTTATTGCACAGAACAATTTTAATGTAATTTCCATAGACTTCTTTTTTAGTATCTTTTTCTTTTGTAAAAAGTTGGCTCGGACTATACATGGTGAAAATAGTCCAGGGTCAAAATGAAAATGAAGGAATAACAAAAAACAAAATAAAAACAGAAATCCCAAGTCATGTGGGACTTAAAAAAGGCTTGATACAGTAGCCACACTTTGAACAAATAGCATTCATATTTAGCAGGAGGGAGAACTGTGAGCCACATCCAGTGTTTTTTTTTTTTTTCTTTTTGCAAAACGTTTTACACCAAAGCTGCTTCAGATTTCTCCATGGGTGAAACCATCTGTCAGTCCACCCATCTGCATATTCTGTCCTTACTTCCAGTGATCAGTGTGACATTATCTGTAATGTCATCCATCATAGATACCTTTATCCAACACACATTTGCAAAGCCCGGCTGTCCATTGTGTGTAGTTAAAAAGTTAAGGCTTCAACCCTTAGATTCAATATGCAGTACTGACAGGGGAGCACAAGGTGCTGAAGTTCTTCCCCCTTCTTCATGATGCGGAATGCACTTTTCTGGGGAGAAGCAAACCTGTACGTGATCCAAGAAGGTAACATTTCCATGGCTTTAATGGGGAAAAAAGGGGCACTTTCATGAATAAATCATCAATCATTAAAAAACAAAAAAGAACAAAAAAAAAACAAGGAAACAAATAACTATAAAAGAACATACTTCAAAGAAGTAACCTACAATGACGGAAATATTCTACAGCTTTAGGACCACATTGTGTTCCAAAACAGGAGCACCACAACAAATATTTCTTATTTTATGGAATCATATATAGCACAAAATAATGCTATTTATGCAACCATAATTGAGGGCAATTTCAAAAAGGTATGAGCACAAACAGTCTGCCATTGTAGGAAGTGTCAACAAAATCAGAATTGTTTTATTTAACCACCAGATCTGATGACAAAATCCTCAGTTAGAACCACTTTATACATATTATTAACCTTTTTGCTGACATCCCCCTTTGATATATCTGGTTTTGTTTAATCTGTAAATGCCCTACAGGAACCAATCCACAGGAACAACTGTTTATGGGTTTACAGCGGCATAAGGCCAAGAGAGGTAATTCTTTTTGACTGTAGAACAGCGGTCTCTTCCATTGTTACATGAATTATCAATGAAAAGTTGAGCTTCAATTTGTACAGTCTTTTTTGGGTATTATAATACTGGGTAAAAATTACTATGAAGAGCAATACGTGTTAGCCATCTATTAATAAAATTCAGCCGTTAAGGATAACAGCCTGGAAGGCTTTATCCTCCTTTCTATCTGCAGACATAAAGTCTAAAACGAGACAATTCTAAATAAGCTGTTTTTATTGTGTAACAAAAGTATACTAAAACACTCTACGATTAACCAAGGTGTTTATTTTTGAATTTCCACCTTTTGTTGCAGTTTCTTGGCTTTGAATTAATAACCGATTCAAATTTGTCTACTGCAATTTTTGCAATCAAAAATGTTTTGGTATTGTATATTCACAACAATGTTTTGTTCATTGTTGTGACAGAAATGTTGAAAGAATGTGGGGAAAAAAAACATGAAAAATGTAGAAAAATTTCAAAGAAAAATGTACTTTAGTTTAGCCTTAAGGCATGTGTATGATACTTTTATGATCTGCTTGTAGGATCTCAATAACCTCATAACATTAAATCAACAGCACAAAAAACAAGACATAAAATAAAGAAAATAATATAAAAAACATGATCCAATTATGGTCTGACCCCATATTCTGGAGTTTGGGATGCTTTGACTTAATGATTACTTTCCCCTATTAATATCCAAGGGAGTATGATGATCTTTGTGTGACAAATCAGACTTTCAAATAATGCCCTCAAAGGCTCGGTTGAAATCTTTGTATCACTGGGTATGTTTACATTCCCTCTAATCTTTTAAAATTATTTTTAATTCAGGAAAAAGGCCTCCTGTCAAGTCCACCAGTTAGACAGAAAAGAAAAAGTGTTTTTCTATGTTTACAGACCATGATCCACAGGTTTGCAGGGGGGGGAATGTCTTCTTTTCTACTTTGTCTTGTGCTGAAGTCCAAAATTATTAAATGTCACATTTTAAATCATTTTCATGTTAAACTTGCGAGGAGCATCTACTGTGGTGCTGCTCATGCCAGCGTCTGATTTCCGTGGCACATACTCGATCTCGATGTTGTGCTTTGTGTTGCCTTTACCTCTGCTCCAGAGGAACAACAGTACCAGGCAAAACAGGACGACACCAAGAAAAGAGATGAAACCCATAGTGGTTGCGATAATTAGTGTCTTTATATCAAATGGGAAAGGGACATTGGCTTTTGTACCGTTAGCACCAGTGTCAGCAGGTTGGTTGGATATGAAAGCAAAAGTCTTATTGGGTTGGTGTGGCCAGTCCGGTGAGTAGCTATGAATGTGTAGATGAGCAAGAGACGTGTCATTTCCGCCTGCATTGCTGGCTATACATACATACGTACCATTATCTTGAATCTGGGCATAGCGCACCTCAAGGGTGCCATCTGGCAACACAGAGAGCCTTCCAATTGTCTTGGAGGTGATGAACTTTTTCTGAGGAGAAAGCCACATAATCACTGGAGCAGGATCTCCATCTGCTTGGCAGGCAAAATGAACAATGGCTCCTTCATCAACAAATTTCTGCTGGGGTTTACGATCCCTAATCCTGGACTTGCGACATGTAAAGTAGTTTGGCTGCAGAACATCCGGGAAGTCTTTAAACTCTTTCCCCTGGACGAACTCAGGAGAGGTGCATGTGGGCTGCTGTTTGTTGAAGTTCAGTCTCCATCTTCTTCGAAAAACCCACAAGAGCCGGCAGTCACAGGCCAGGGGGTTATCATACAAGGCCAGGGTTTCCAAGTTTCCAACTGAGTGAAAAGCAGACTCCTCCAATGTGGTAAGAGAGTTTCCAGACACATTTAGTATCTTAAGGTAGTTAAGACCTTTGAAAGAGTATGGTTCAATCATCGCTAGTCTCCCTCCAACCAGGTGAAACTCTTGTAGACGTAGAAGGTCATGCAACTTATTTCCCTCAATGGTATGAATAGGATTGTATGAAAGATTAAGAAATCGCAAATAAACCAGGTGTTGTAGGGCTACATAAGGGATGGTAGTCAGGTTAGTGTTTGCAATGGTCAGAGAGGTGAGATTTAATCCATACAAACAATTTGTAGTCATGGTATCCAAGTATGGCCAATTGGCAATCTCCAACACTTTCAGCCGATAGAGCCGTTTAAATGAGTAATCCCTTATGGAATTGATGTTGAGGTGACGCAGTCTGAGAGTGATTAGACTGTGGAGGTGAGTAAAAGCTTCTGTTGGCACAGAAGACAAGTTGCACTTCTCCAGACTCAGGTGCTCAAGGCTGTTAAGGCCATGAAAAGCACGATGAGCGATGAAGACCAGATCATTATCCCCCACCTCTAAAGACCGTAGGTTATACAAATCCTGGAACATATAGTCTAACAGGATGACAATTTTGTTCTCACTTATGTCCAGCTCCGTGAGATTGCTCAGGCCAGTGAATACCCCTAGCTGGATCAGCTTAAGCTTGTTGCTACGCAATCCCAATGTCCGCAAGCCATAAAGGTTATTGAATGCTCCAGGTTCAATTGTGGAGATAGTGTTTTCACTGAGCTCCAGGTGTTCCAGGTTAGCAAAGTTAGCAAACTCATCTGGATTAATCGTTCTGATGCGGTTCTTGCTGAGGTCCAGCAATCTGGTTTCTGCAGGAATGCCCTCAGGAACTGCCATGAGCTTCTTGCGATGGCACATCACTGAGCGATCTGGAACATTACACTCACAGCGGGATGGACAACCTGTGGTGGAGCCGGAAAGGACAGTGCCCAGCATCAGAATCAGAATGGGCTGCCAACAAGCCACCAGGTAGCTGTGCCCAGTCGCTTCCCTGGCCACCATCTTATCGGTTACCTGGGAAGAAGCACATACAAGGCAAATAGTTTGTAAGACAGTAAAATATTAATGCTCTTAACTTAATTATGATAAAATGTACTACTGGTAATGGAATGCATACATGTGGATTTACAAAATAAGACTGGAATTCAGATGTTTAAACATATTTTAAAATTGGCCCATTGGCATTGACAATTTAAGACATTTAGTTTGTGCAACAATCATAAGACCTAAGAGGATGCCCTTCTCCTGTGACTCGAGAGCAGAGAACAGGACAGATAGTATGACATCAAATACAATATTTATGAGCAGGCGTAAGATGAATACAGGTTACAGTGAATTGACAGCTTTGTATTCTATACCTGGCACTGGCTTCAAAATGTATTTTAAATGCCCATAAATGCTCTTGAATAAAAGGTATTTCCCAGAAGCCATTGTGACACAGAAGGTAATGTTAGGATTCTAGCAAGAGACTCAGAGTTTTAATGACCTTCTCTTTGCTTTACTACTCCCACTGAGTCTGCAGTGGACTGCTAAGCATTATTTCCATAGATCATCTTTCAGAAACTCAATCAGTTAATGCAATCCCTTTGACATGAGGCAATACAGTATAGCATCAGATGGAATTAACTGCACTTTTCTTTAGTAATTCACATTAAGTCATGTCAAAAAAAAGATATGTTGAACATTTTAGCACCCCATTACGGTAACAGTCTCTTTTGTTCTCCACACCATAGTCTTCTGTGCAAGTCAAAACACCAAGGGATGAAGCAGCACCAGGAGGAAGACTAAATTAAAGATCATTGGTGGCAATGATGTGATGTATTAGCCATGGCTCACACCAAGCTCATCTAATCTTTCAGGCTAAAATAAAAACAATGCCCATCTAGGGAAGTATATAAAAATGGATCAATATGTTTTATTGAACAGTTATGTATAAAGTGGGTAAAAATAAAAGTCATGCCTATCTGTCTTTCATCCTGTTCACTTAACCAGGTGATTGTTATATTAGTCTGTTGAGGTGGAAATGCAAATGGTTGGACGTGCACAGGTTTCTTACTTCCTGAACTTGGACTATCTATTTCTATGTATAAAGGATTTGGTATTTATATGTGTTCACTATATGTTCCAGTATTGCACAAGTCACACATATCAAAGGGCATTTCCTCCCTATCCAGTGATAAATGCCACACACTTCTGTGGTTGGAGAGATTCTTTGCACCATAACAAATCTATAGAGGTTGCTGAGAGAAAATTCAGTTAAAAAATAGTTGACAGTTAATTACAGGGTGACATGTTAATGCTGGGCGGCAAATACTAATAACTTTCCTCTCTGCCAACTGGACATCTGAATAACAAGAAAAGAAAGGGTAGGATGGGTGGGTGTTGCATAGCTCAATTTCATTTAATTTTGCATGAGGTCAAAGTTCAGATTGGGGATTTGATGAGACCATCTGCAATCAAGTGATATCAAAACACACAAGGTTTGTTTTTTCTGAAATTAGAGTTCTGCGGCAAAGCCTGCTGGGGGTTTTTCAGCCTCAACCTCAATTATCAGTCTTTTCCCATGCTAGACCGATTGAGATAGCAGGAAACCAGAGATAAAGAACCAGCAGCATGTTGGGCATGCTAAGACACCTAAGAAGAGTTACCCCAGGCTTGGTCTTGTCTATTGACCTTTATTATGGGTCATTTACATAGTGGGTATCAGCAAATTAGATGGTATTACTTCCACTACTATTACCCATTATGCTGCAATGCAATCTGGAGAATGACGCAATCATAACCCTTTTTTGAGTGGGGCTTCACAGCAGGTTATGTAGAGCAATCGGTCATTTTCAGTAACTAGTCAGAATATACAAAATTGAAATGTCCAAAAATGAATTAAAAGTGATAAAACTAAGAGCAAAACTAGAACAAAGAAAAGTTAAACAGGGCTAGCATCAATGAAAGGCAACTAATATTTATGAATATCTACTGTACCAAACAAAGTAAACAACTTAATGCAAGACAGGTGTGATAATTAGCAAATTAGGTTGAGGTGAATGAAAAGAGTGGAAAAAGACCGAGACGATCCAGGAAACAGGCTTTTGAAATATCCTAATAAACAGATGCTACTAACAAGATCTAGATAAGGCCAAACATAGAATCATAGCTTCAATTTCACCAAAAGAGAAAAATCCTGGTAAATTCTGTATATTTTCTACTCTGGGAGCTTTGGAGAAGCAAATAAAAATTGCCCAGAGCATCGCCAGTAAATTTTAGGGAAATTCAGACAGGAGCATTAAGATGAAAAATAACCTCCACTAGTAAACATTAGCAGCACTGTGTTGTTAATGATCTGGTGTTATCATTCCCTCGCAGGCATGGAGCTTGAATGCGGCTCTTCATTGCAATCAGCAAGCTCCCACAGAATTACATTAATTGAGGTGGATTGAAGAGGGAATGGTGGTGGGGGGGAAGCATCTCTCTTATTTCCCACCTTTCTTAAGAGAATAAATATGTTGGAGAAATAAGACTACTCTGTTCAATAAAAAAGACCCCAATGGTCCAAGACCAATAACTTGATCAATGAATGGTGGGAGCAATGCTTTTGTGCCGGCATCTATAGGGATCTTGAGGATATTGCTTCACAATGAAAGCAGACAGTACTTTATAATCTTCCTACAATAGAGTGACATTACATCATCATGAAACACGTACCTCTCAAACGACTAATACTTGTTTTATTTTAACTTTGGAGTAAATAATTACATAAATAAATAAATAAATAAATAAATAAATAAATAAAGGAATAAAAAAATCAGTTTTGCTATTTGATCCATTTTTTCTGGGTAATGACTGATTTAAAGGTATACCAAGCTTTTAAAAAGTTTTGCTTTCCAAAGTTTTTTCTTTTTAATAAAACACATTTATTTGCTTTAAGATAATTTTAGTTAAGAAATGTTTGAGTTTTTTTTTAGACTGCATGGATACCAGGAATGCAGAGGAGTCGCACCCTCTGCTGCTACACACAGTAGCTCAGCTGGCTGAAAGGACACAAATACAGTTTTCTTTGCTCATTGAAAAATATCCATTGCATTTCAATATTTGCAAATATGGTCCTTTTAGAAAAATATACTGAAAACTAGAAGAAGCATCTGTTAAAGCTAATATCAATTTACTAAAATTAGAGCAGTTTGTCTGAATGTTCAGTGCAACAGACACAAACAAAACTCTATTTACATTTTGTTAGTCATAAAATTTTCATCTTAAAACAATTACTGCTTTTCTGTTTAGAAGAAAAAACCTGGCTTCAACCTAAAAGTAATTAAAATGTAAAATTATTGTCCCACAAGTTTTTTTTTTCCTGAAAAATGAAAGTTTTTGAACCTATTACCTACAGTAAGTACCTACCTAGGAGTCAAACAAATCAACTGCTGCATTTTCCCCCCCACTACTTTTAATACAGACTGGTTATTAAGCAACATATCCTAATAATATATAATTATGGCTAAAACAATAATCGGAATAATCATGATTAATTGATTATTGATATAATCGTCAAATAATCTAGTAATCAATTATTCGTTAACTGGAGTATTGAGACTCTAAAACAAGCAACCCAGTTAGAGCAGCAATTATACCAAAATTGTAAGTAAACATTTTGCATTTGAGATAAAAAAAAAAAAAAAAAAAACCATTTCCGTCTGTCAATCTGCACTGTCCAGCATATCTCAAGTAGAAAAGTTGTAGTTTCACCTGTTTAATTTGGTAAAAAGTCTTCTTTAAGGATCCTTTTGCTATCAATTTATTAATCGATTAATCCAAAAAATAATCAACAGATGAATCTATTTGCAAAATAATATTTAGCTGCAGCTTTTATATAATGATAAACAATAAAGAAAAAAAGTCAGACATCAAAGTCCTGTAGCATATAGTAGTCATAGTGGAATAAAAACACAAATTCATCCATCCATCCATCCATCCATCCATCCATCCATCCATCCATCTTCTTTACACGCTTGTCCCAAGTGGGGGCGCGAGGGGTGCTGGTGACACAAATTCATTATTAAATAAAAACAGTATTTCAGAAAAGAGATTAAACTGCAAAAATAAGAGTATGTTCTACAAAATATTCCTATAACTAATGTGTTGATTGCTGACTGTAGTATTGTTTTGTTTTTAAAATCTCTGGATTACCATAGAAGTACACTGATTTAAATAAAACCTTCAGCAAACCTTACCCAGTTGTAACTGTCTACATTACATGCTAGACCATATAAAACCATCTAAGGCCACTTTCATTGTCCAACATACACTGGCATCTGACATTTGTATTCAATACCTAAGCGTGTAAAACAGGCTTCATGTCTATACTTATTGTGCATTGCTGATTTGTTTTCTGCTCATCTGTCTGTCTTCATTAAATTCATCACAATAGGCTCAATAAAACACAAGCAGGGAGAAGACACATCCATCCCCCGAAGCTTTAGTTTACCTGTCACAAGACATCACTCCTGAGCCCTTTTAAATACCATTGTTAAATACCTGTAAGCTGCTGGGAAATCCATGAGATGATGCTTACGTTATCTGCAACACAAAGTGTTAAAAGCCTTTAAAGCCCCTTCCTTGGCAAACTGCTTAGTCAGCTGCCAGGCTAATCCTTGATGGCAAATGCAAGAGTGGATTTTTATTTACACCACTTGTTCGGACTTTCCTAGAACATTGCTTGTAAATTTGCAATCTAATTCCAGCTTTAAGCATGGTTGGAAAATAGGCCATCGGTTTCCATTACATAAAAATAAACCAGTTTATATGGTAATGCCATGAAGTCATCTACAGAAATTATAAAATAAACATCTACCAAATCTATTTGGTTTAAAAAGTGATTAGGAACCTACAGTCATAGAAAATGAATACAAAGTAGCAGCAACAACTTTCTTAACTGTTAGTCCCTAAACTTTGGCTCCCTAAATGGGATTATTTTCACAGTACTCAAGTGTAGGCTAGCAGAATTTTTAGGAGCAAGGATACCC